AGCTGGCAGCCTGGACAGTCACCTAATGTTTCTCAGCATTGTTGGTGCTAGGTACGCAACTGAGCTCAGCCATGTATTTAAATTTCTGATGCTGCTAATTGCTCAGATCATCTTCTGACCGTGGTGTACAAGGGTGGTTGATTCTCCACACTCCTGCCGACCCTTGGTGTTGCTGATTTTGATTTTTGTTAATCTGATAGATGAAATGGTGTCTCATTGTTTTGATGTGTCTTCATAAGCGAGCCTGAGTATGCTTTCACAGGCTATTGGCCTTTTACCTTTCTTTTTCTGTTTTTTTTATTATCCATCTTTTTTTTTTTTTTTTTTGAGACGGGGTCTCTCTATACAGTCCTGATTATCTTGGAACTCACTCTAGATCAGGCTGGCCTCGAACTCACAGAGATCCGCCTGCCTCTGCCTCTGCCTCCTAAGTGCTGGGATAAAGGTGTGCGTCACCATGCCTGCATGCCTGGCTCATTCTCATTTCTTAAGTACAGTGTTAACTGTTTAAGCCTCATGTGTCTTGGGTAGATTGGAAGAAGGACAGCCCTCTTCCGAGGGTCCAGTATATATCTGGCACGCACTTTATAGGCAGATGCCAGTACATAAAATGGAGGCTCCCATGCATGCCAGCTTGTTCCAGGTCACATGGGTGTGAGAGGCTAAGCTGGGACTCGGCTCTGGGACTCCTCACTCTCTAGCCCTGCTCATTCCAGTACATGGTGGCTCTACCACAATTAAGTTGTATCAGGAGAGGGTTTGGCTTTCATAAAGATTTATCAGGAAGCCCTTGTAACAAGTTGCAATTAGGACATATTTAAACAGATTGCTATCTCAGCAGTGAAAATTTTCATTTCTATGTTTTAATGTCAGTAATTGGCATAAGTGGTCCTTCTTGGAGAACACAGGTAAATGAGCAGTAATTAGAATTGGGCTCTATTGAAAAAAAAAAAAAAAAAAGAATAGTCTTAATAGTCCTGCTTATGTGTGGATGCTCAGCACAGAAGCCAGGCAGAATTCCGTTCCCCTTTCCTGCATTCATAGACCTGGGTGACATTAAACTTTCTCTTTGCTCATTTATTCATTTGATAACTATCTTCCTAAGTGTGCATTTTGTTTAGAGCTGGGAGAGTGGTGGATAGACCCATGTACCGCCATCATGGAGTCTCTAGTAAAGGAGAATAATAGTCAATAAATAAGGGAACAAGCAAAATATTTAAGCACTTGCTGCAAACACCGTGAAGTGCTGTGACAGAGTGGTATGGGGACAGGTTTTAGTTGATGGGCAGCAGTTAGGGAAGGTCCTACACGTTTTTGTGGGTGACTAGGCACTAACGTATTTATTTTAAAAAACATTGAGACAGTGTCTCCTATTGCATCAACCTTGTGATGTAGCCAAGGATAACCTTTTTCTCCTTCCTTTTGAAAAACCTTTTTATTATTTTTATTATGTGTAATTATTATGTGTAATATTTATGTGCTTGTCTGTGTGTATGGGCGTACCATGTGTGGATGCAGTGGCCAAGGAAGCCAGAAGAGGGCACCAGATCCCCTGGAGCTGGAGTTAGAGGTGGTTGTGAGCCACCAACATGGGAACTGAACTCGGGTCCACGGGAAGAGCAGTATGCGCTGTTAACTACAGAGCCAACTCTTCAACCCCCCCCCCCCCACACACACACCTTGCATTTCCCGTCTTCCTGCCTCGACCTCCCAAATGCTGGAGCAACAGATGTCCAGAGTGTTTATGGGGTGTTGTGTGTATCAGAAAAGCACTCTACTAACTGAGCTACATCCTCTCACGTAACATTTTTGTTGTTGTTAAAAGACTTCCTATAACCGTCCCCTGTGTAAACGGCTTTCTGTCAGGAGAGAAAGAGTGTCAGTATATGAGGAAGAGCAGGCTGGACATGGTCTTCCCTCTATCCATTGCTCTGTAGCTCACCCTGGCCTGGGATTCCAGAGCCTGCCGCCCCTGCATCCCCAGCGCTGGGATTACGGGCGTGCACCACTGCACCTGGCCCTTTCCAGACATTCGTATTTGTTATTTTGAAAATCAAAAACACCATGGACGCGCGCCTAAAAAGCGAACCTTGATTCTCCAGGTCTCCGAGCTCATTTCCGGCCCCTTTCCTCTCCAGTGTTTGAACAGTCCTGACGCTGCCCCTTTCTCTTTCCGCATTTTCCTCTTCCCACGCGGAGCAGAAACTTGGTGGCATTTGGTCACCCGTGGGAGCGGTGTCATGTCACAAGGGGTGGGGAGAGAGAGAATAAAAGAAACGGATGTGGAAATGGCCCCAGAACCCCGAGTGGAGACCCTGTCTTCTTTAAACTGGTATTTGGGTCCACCTGGTGGCCGCGAGCGTCTTCACACAAACAAGGCCCCTCGGTTTCCCCCTGGTGGCAAGAGCTGGGAGGACAGCCTGGGAACCCCTGGCTCTTAGAAAGAAAGAAGTGCGTTCCCAGTTCCAGGTAGCGTCTCTGCAGACTCGATGCCCCCAGGTTCCGCCTGCCGGTCATGGCCGACTTAGGATAACCCCAAATATGAAAACCCAAGGTGGAGTGGAGCAGGGTAGAAACAGATTGCGTGTTCTCATCTCAA